AACAACGATATCTTCATATTTCACGAAGGTGGCCCTTTTCCTTTAAGTTCGTAAAGTAAATAATCGTATAGAATAGTGTTGCAGGTAAATTGATTGTAGCCAAAGCTCGTTGGCCGTTAGTCGCACAATATTCTACGAAAAACCGTCACGTGCGTGTGCTCCTGTGGAGTGTGGGGTGCCCCTCTCGGGGTACTCAAGTCTTATTGGGGGCGTTCAATCCAGCATTTGGGGTGCTGAAGCACCCCCAATGATACACAAATTCACCCATGCTTAGGTCACCTTATATAAAAAATCTGCGATATTAAACTACGAATATCCATGACGTCATGTTAATGTTATCCACCAACTTCGAAAATGTTTATACCCACAATTATATGAAGACATTCACAATTCTGAGTGTTCTGAGTGTGGCTTCGATGCTAGAGCATGGGTGTGGATTTTCAAAAAAAAAACTTGGGGGCGTCACAGGATCCGCATACCTAGGTGTGCCCCTCACGGCTGGGTGTGCCCCCTTTGCCAAAGAGAGCCCTCACATTTCACATGTTACCAATAATATCCCTACTGTTTTTTAGGGGGCTATTAATAATACATCGAAGGCATCGATAAATCAATAACTATCCTGTAGAGTTTGTTTCAGGATTTGCATTTTGCAATCGTGGTTGCGGAATATCGACAACATTTTAGGAGCAAGAAGTGGTGCCGCAACCTTTTGCTTTCCACCAGCCCCCACCCAAACCCTACCGGGCGTCGCGAGTGGCATTGCGAGGGACACCACAGGTCTACCAGAGGCACCACATGCCTGGCAATGGCACCATCAGCCTCGCAGGGACACCTTGGGCCTGTCAGGTGCACTACGTGCCAGACGGGGCACTTTAGGCTTGGGCACGGGCACCACAGTCCTGTCAGAGCCCAAAGGCACCAGCGGCCTAGAAGGGGCACCACAGGCCTGCCACCACAGGCCTCACCACCAGTCTGTCGTTGGCACTTCAAGCTTGTGAGGAGCACTACAGGCCTGCCAGGACCCATGTGCAAAAAAAAAAAACTGAAAATAGGGCAACACCGAAGTGGTCGAAAACGAAATTCGAGATCCGTTGAGTTTTTTATTTTGGGTATTGGTAGGGGCACCATTTCGATTCATGACCCTCCCCTCGGAGTTTTCCTGGATCCGCCCCTGTACATGCGTGCGTGTGCACCTGGGGGCTTTGGGGTGCCCCTTTGGGGGTGCAGAAGTATTATTAGGGATGAAAAAATGATAGACACATCCACACCCATGTGCTAGAGCCTCAAAGAAAGAAACAGGACAGCTGAGTCCTTTCTGTCAATGCATAAATTTGAGCATCAGCTATAAGCCATCTAAGCTCTGAACTAACATCAATGTAGGTATATGGTCGAGCTTACGACGCCACTTACTACGCGAACGCAGAAATTGATAAGCTTTGTATGCGCTGCACTAGGACTGCACCATGTGAATACCATATTTTGACTGTACGTACGATCTTTACCTCATACGATCATTTGGCTACGATCATTTACCTCGACGATCTTTTTCGAATACGATCTTTCGTCCATAGGAACATTATATTGTACGATCTTTATCCCATACGATCTTTTGGCATACGATCATTTTCCTTGACGATTTTTTGCGAATACGATCTTTTGTCCATACGAGCATTATGTCATACGATCTTAATCCATTACGACTTTTTGGTATACGATCATTTTCCTTAACGATCTTTATCGAATACGATCTTTTGTCAATACGAGCATTAAGTCGTACGATCTTTATCAATTACGATCTTTTGCATACGATCAACTTTCTACGATCTTCTGCCATACGATCTTCTGCTTTACGATCTTTTGTCCGGTTACCGTGTATTGCTTGTCCTAAAATCGGGTGATTCACCAGTCAACAACTGACATCAAGCCTCAAATTAACACCGGCCAAATTGCCCCACCTCGCCAGCCCAGTAACCCTGCTAGCGGGGCAATTCAAGTTTGCTTGCAAAAAAAAAACTTGAATTGAAATTAGTTGATAGGATCGTGAAGCCGGGCTGGTTGGGTGCACAGCCGCCGGCGGTGGCATTGCGGCACAGTCTGCCTTTTAGGGGCTGGTCAAGACACTGCACAACGCAATACGACTAAGAAGCCAATCAAGCCTATTTGCTCCAATCAAACTGATAGTCGCATCTGCAGTTCGCAAAACGGATCGAACACGTGTTTGCAGACATGGGAAGGTTACAAGATGTGAGGGTTTGAGACTGAGTTGAGGTATTTCACTGATTGCAAAGAAACAAACAAAATTAGTCGATTATTCCTTAATTAAAATGAAAAAATTAACGTTTTTTCCACGGTGACTTTAATTTTTTTTCCAACCAATGCCCCTCGGCCCTCAATAATCATTAGTTACATTGTGAAAATATTTGTATGACAAATTAATGCGAATGTTTCATTAAGCAACTTGTGCAAAGGTGAATGTGCAAAATGTTAAAATCACTGACGAGACCTGAATTAAAGGGACACTCCCACCTTAACATTAGTTTTGAGTTGAGATAGCCAAATTGGTGGTCATGGCCTGCAAATACCGGTTTGGGCACTCACAACATCGAAAAATGCTTTAATTCGAAGATATGGAATTTCAAACTTGCAGTTTTCGGATTCTAAGGGGCTAATGCATTGGAATGCCCCCTTAGAATTTGTGACGTCAGCGGAGATCTAACGATTTTTAAATCTTAGACTAAAACCATCGTTAACACGTGGTGGTATACGCTGCTTTGCGCGCAACGTCTGCCGCACTTTAAGGCTGCCAAATTAATGCTTCCAAATAAAGTCGCTAGTAACAGGGGAGATCCCAAAAAGCAAACAAAAGTAAAAGCCTAATATCTTGAAAACCAGTGAATATTTTTCGGTGAAATTTGGTAGATATTCGTTTTCGCTCTTTCTGAACCAAGGGACATCACTTTCATGCCAATTCATTAACGTTTTTGAAGGTGGGAGGGTCCCTTTAAAGCCATTAGAATACAAGTCCGACACCGAGTCACCCTAAAAATGCGTATAGGACACATGTCATTGCATGGACGCTGAAGCTGACTCGCCTGTACATAGGAAGGTAACATAAAATCAAGGCCTCAAATTAACACCGGCCAAATTGCCCCACATCGCCGGCCAAATAACCCTGCTAGTAGGGCAATTTGGCCGCTTTGCAGACCTTTGTAAAACGCCAAACTTTAGGTATAAGTACTAGTAGTTACTTTATCATTTTCAATTTACTGTACGGGAAAGTAGAATGAATGCGACACCTGCCGGCTGCCAGAATTGAGAGAGTGCAGAAATATGTCGCCAATTTTGAGGTACAGCATTTTCTAAAAAGAGCGGACAAGCTGCCCCATCCTCCCCTACTTATCGCTGCAAAGTTTTATTCCGTACCGCAAGCATGAGACATGACCGTGTGCACAATGACACGGACATCCGCTCTCGATTGCACATTGCCGGGTAGTGCAGACTTCAGTCAGAGAAGACTGGACACTGGACAGTGTAGGCGGTGGCGGGCTGTGCGATAGTTCATATTCCTAGGGGCGCGGATGGTAGAAGAGACACTGTTGCCGAACGATTTCAGAAGGTGTGAGGCGTCTGGTCTGCCAAGTCGAGCAACTCGAGACGTGGTAAACTGCAGCTCGCTTCAAAACCGGGCGTCTTGTCCGCAAGAGGAGTGAGGTGAAGATAGGCAAGGTTCAGAAGAAGTCAGCGAAATCTGATAGACTTCGGTTGTGACTTGCGATCGGACTCACAGGACATCTGCCGGCAACAAGAGCACCGTCAGCGCTCACAGGAGCTCCAGTCGGCTCTGCCGCCTATATAAGTACATTTTGGAGTGACTTTTTTCGTCTTGCGGATAAGCATTTTTCCAGCTGATATGTCTCGCTGCTATTGTCTGCCCGCGCTGATCTGCGTTCTGATGGCGCTGTTTCACCTCGGCTTTCCCAAAAACTTACAGTTACGAGTATCTGGACAAAAGTTGTCAGACGGCATCGTCATAACGAAGGCGGTTGTAAATCCAGCCTGCGCGCTTGGCTTCCGCAGCGCCGGCGGGCGGTGTGGGGCCCTCTTCACCCCGCAGGTCAAGCCGAGGCGTTTACCACTGCAGGACGACTACAACGACGCCATCGAACAGCTGTTCCGGAAGCTTCCGCGGGCACCTGTATCCTCCACGGGTCCCCACATGGTGGAGGCAACAACGGCCTCAGAAATGTCGACAACGTCAGCAGCAGCAGCAGCTGCAGCAGGAACGACGACGAAAATGACAACAGAAGCAGCAACAACAACAACAACAGCAGCAGCAGCAGCAGCAGCAGCAGTGACGGCGCCGAACTCTAGACAGTTTTCCATGATATCCCGTTCTTTTCCCGAGTCGGCGAGGCCTGAAGAGGATCCCAGTGAAGGAGGGGATGACCATACCGCTGCAGGTGGGGCTGCCAGAGTGGCGGCGGGTGGTCTCGCTATCTTTGAAATGGTGGTGTTTGTGATCGGGACCTTTGCTTGCAGGATCCCTCTAATCGAGCATGCTTGAAGTTTACCTATAGCTGTTATCGATTTGGCTAGATATGCCCAGTAGGTATTATTTAATTGCAGGTAGGTAGGTAGTTCTGATTTAAAACAGAGCATGACATTAAGTTAATTTCGATGATTAAATGTGTTAATAAGGTGTGTTTCTTTCGTGTTGTCCATTAATAAAAAAAAGATTCTTTCCTACAATATTGTGTGATGACTATCTACAGATACAATAGGTATATAGACCACTGTACAGGGTCCAGCATAAGGGCCGCCCCACACGAGTGCGTTTTTCATGCGGCACGGCTGCGGTGCGGCTGCCGCACGTCAGAATACGGCTACCGTACGGCTACCGTGCGTCGTCCCCCGGTAGAGGAATCCGGGAGATGTAAAAATAAAAACTCCCATGAATGCTTGTATGTACGTACATTTAGTACAATGTACAACGTACAAGCGCCAGGGTAAGCTATCAAACTCGTCCACCATTGTATTATATTTTTGACGCATTACACACAAATAAAGGAGTAACAATATCGACGGGCCTTCAACCACGCACACTGCCCAAATGACTGACACGTCGAGAAACAAACTGACTGAGCACCAGGGAGCTGCAGGCGGCCGGGGCCGCGGCGGCACCGACTGATCACCAGCCATTATCACAAAACCACCCTCGGTGAACGCAGAGCACCCCTGGCTGGGAGCGGCGCTTGGCACGAACGGTACCGGCAAACGGAGCGCGCGCTGACCGCCGCAGGAGTGCTCTGTCGGAGCGAGTGTCCAGAGAGAGAAAAGATGGCCCGCGCCGGGGGTGCAGGAGCTCCCCGGCCACACGAGAGGCGAGTGACACCCAGATGTACCCTGTACTGTCCCAGCGGCGGACCGGCAGCGGCCGGGAGGACGCCTGTCGCCCGATCGGGACCCAGTGCCCGGCGAGGGACCACCTCTGAGAATGAGCGATTGTCCCTGACGGGGAAATAGCGCGGTCCGGGCGCAGCGTCTGAGCTCCACAGCTGAGGATGCTGAGTGCTGAGCTGCGCTGACAGCTGAGCTGTGCTGACTGCTGACAGCTGATCACAGGGGAGCTGCTGAGCCGTCAGAAGTGTCGGCTATAACGGCCGGTAACGGGAAACAGTCGAACGTCGCGCTATGGCGTACCAGCCATATAACCGTGCACTCAATGACAAAATGGCGATGAGATGACAACATTAAAGAGAAGGCAATAAATGACAAAAATATGCACAATATCGAAAGTGGCCGTACCCGCTATAATGCATTCAGCTCCACTCGTCCACGCACTGCGCTGTAATATACAGAATCATCAACGTCACGTCATCGCTCCATTCCAGCGTCTTCTAACCCACTTTCACTCATTTCTGGATTCGATGGTTAATTGCTACGCCAGTCCTTGGCACCCTGACCGATGACCGTTTTATGTAAATGTGACGGCGCCTGATTCGTTCCCGTCAGTGCAGAACCTCACCCAGCCACCGTTGGTATCACCAGTGGTGCCCCTGGTGTTGGGTCTGGTGATCACCACTGCTGGCCCCCCTCCCGTCACCACTGACCGGCACCCGACCACCGTCATCCCCGCTCGTCCCCCTCCGGTCCCGCAGAGCCCAGTGAGCTGGCTCTGAAGTAGCGCCCACCCAGCACGGGCTGCTGCGGTGTGCGCCGCTCGATCTCCGGCGTCAGCGCGGTAGTCGCACAAGTCCTCGTCGCTTAGAACGGCGAGGGTTGAACGGACATTGAGTCTGTCAACTACCAGCGGCGTGGCTGGCGACTGTCGGCGTCCTGACCTCTGGCTCCGGAGCTGCCGTCATCTGGGGGACAACACCGCACAGGGCAGGTCAGTTCGCAGTTGATCCTGTTGAGTCACTAAAGTATAAACGTAATTTATCTAATACCAAGCAGGATTCCAAATAAATTTACTTCAATTCTTAGTGAAGATTTTGACTTCAAAACTGTACGTTTAACTTATCACGCATGCAAAATAAATGGAATTTGCAAACATTGGGCAATGATTACCTATTAGGCCCTAATGCGATTTAATTTTTGAACCCACTTAAATGACACGCTTAATGCCACATTTACAAGTAATGAGTTACAGACGTGCAATACTAATTCTCAGAGCTGTTCTGTGTTATGTAAGCCCGATCCCAGTAATCGGAAACAATATCCACTGCCCGTTATGCACCCACCTTTCCGGCGGTCCCTGGAGTCGCCTCTGTGCCTGGGAGGCAGGGGCGGACCCAGCTGGCCGGGACCCGGTGAGGCCCCGCCCGAGACCGCCCGACGATCCTGGCCCGGACCCTGGCCAGGTCAGAGGTCACGTGACGTCAGTAACCGCAGTAGTCAGCAAGTTACATTCGCATTCTTCCAGCGGGTTTTGAAGCAATAGGTACCCGTCGCGGCATAACTCGACGGATTCACAAAAAAATTACCTCACAAAAATTTGGGCATTCGAAACTAGCATTGTGTACCAAATAATTATTTCAGGCGAATTTGAAAGACATCCATATGCCAATGCTTCATGACTTGTCTGACAAGCACAGGGCCACGAGCCACGACTCTCGAGATTACCAGGCCAAAGGTTCCACATGGTTTGACACCACGCGCTCACCTGCGGCGGAGCGTCGGTGAGGAAATTGGAGGGCACCAGTCCCCGCACGCCTCCGATCTCGCCGATGTAGAAGCCGTCATCGTCCATGTCGCCGTACACCTGGATGATGTCCCCCGTGCAAAACGACAGCTCCATCTGACGGCAAATGATTTTTCAGTTTGGACGCCCAAAAATCCCAAAACTCGATTATCTAATTGCTGATGTTCTTGCGGTAATTGGTATGCATGATATGCTCCAACGGCCTACTTACTGAGGTGATCACTCTGCCCGAACGCAGCGACAGCATCATATTCTGATAATACGCTCTATTTCACTGAAAGGCAAAAGATTAAACTCTGAACGACCCCTGCCCCGCCCTCTCACCCCTGCCCCGCCCTCTCACCCCTGCCCCGCCCTCTCACCCCTGCCCCGCCCTCTCACCTCTGCCCCGCCCTCTCACCTCCGCGTCCACATTGGGTGACAGGTGGCGCGGGTCGTAGTCGTAGAGCGCCACCATGCGGCGCACGGGTCCGGACGGAGTGGCTCCGTCGTCCCATGACCTGCGCTGGCGGACGGCCGCGGCGCCCGACGGTGGGCCGTCCCAGTGGCGCGCCTCGCCGCCCCCTCGGCCCTCGTCCCAGTGACGGGGGTGAGCCGACTCCCGGCGGTCGTCCCAGTGCCGACCCGCCTCCCTTCTGTCGTCGTAGTGGCGGCCGCCCTCCCTCCGGTCGTCCCAGCTCCTGCTCTGATCTCTGCGGTCGTCCCAGTTTCTTCCTTGGTCTCTGCGATCGTCCCAATTTCTTCCCTGTTCTCTGCGATCGTCCCAATTTCTTCCTTGATCTCTCCTATCGTCCCAGTTTCTTCCCTGGTCCCTCCTATCGTCCCAGTTTCTTCCTTGCTCCCTTCGGTCGTCCCATTGCCTCGGAGGGACCCGGGGAGGACGAGATCCTGACTGACGATATCCTGTTCGGGAAGGAAAATGCGTTACTGACTCCGTACAATTTAGGCTACCTGGCATTTATAAAAATGCTCCAAGCTAGCGTACAAAATCACGGGATGTGATATGAAACCGTCACAACGCCGACCTGGGAATGAGAAGGTATTACATTAACCAGTCGTCTCAGTTGTTAATTTCAGCTTTTTGCGTACCTTTTTGCTACCTACGCCATTAGCTTGATAAAAAACATTATTTTCTATTACCGTTACCGTTTATGTCAGCGTAATTCCCTTTCCTCCTCACCGTACGCGTCCTCGTCCCTGGTCGGGTGGTGTCCGTGGGACGCGGCGGCGGTCCTCTCCTCACCCAGCTGCACCTCGGTCACCATGTTACAGGGCACGTAACCGGCCCGGCCGGACGCCTCGCCCCAGTAGAAGCCGTCAGCGTCCTTGTCACCGTACACCTGACGAGAAAAACAGCGGTAGGGAGACGGTCAGTGCAGCGAAAATAAACTAAGGAGTACTTAATCGTTAGGCACTCTTAACGCAGTTAGAAAGACATAAGAATACGTTTAAATATTTAACAACGCTTCCAATGTATTGCATTGTAATGTGCTCAGATCATACAAACAATTCACAATCATCACATTAACGCTACGTGCATTATGCCGATATTCATTAGTTCCAATTCCTAATTACCGTCTCGGCATTGCTGCGTTTCCACGTGCCCTCGGCTGATGATCAGCATTCATTGGCAGCACATTACCGCTCATTTCCAGTCGCGCTCCGTAATGACGTCCCATCTGGCGGCACCCACCTTGATGAGCTGGCCCTCTCGGAAAGCCAGCTCGTCGTGGTGGCTGTCCACGTTGGGCGACATGTTGACCGGGTCGTAGTCGAACAGGGCCACGAACACCCGCATCCGCTGCTCCCGGGGGGCGGCGTGTCGCTCCGCGCCGCCGCCGCTCCGCAGGGGACCTACAGTGACAGTAATGGGCGTGTCGTGGCTCACAGCTGATGGGGAGTATGGTGGAATTAGCATAGACAATCGTTGGCGATGGGTATGCCTAAGTAATTAGTTGCATCGACCTCCAATTGAAGCAATTATCGTGCTTACATAATGTACAGCATGATCGTAATTCAAACCACCGCCCACTAGCAGGCAGAGCGTCGTATTTCCTGACAGAATCTGACCATACCTGCTGTGCCGTTGGACCGGAGCCGCCCGTCGCGGCCGTAGCCGGTCTCCGGGCCGGGCTCGGCCCGGTGGTGGGTCGGGCCGTGCTGGTGGGAGGCCGGTCCCGCCGGGGTCCGTAGCACCCCCGCCGAGCGCCGCTCGTCACTCCACGGGGCGTGGATGTCGTAATGGTGGTCCCGCCCGCCCGGCCCGTTGAACGTGTGGTGTCGACTGCTGAGATCGTCACCGTAACCTGGAATTGGGAATCAGCAGATGAAATGACATTAGGATTTGGCGTACACCATGATGTCACTGCAGCGCCCTGGAACACACAGACAAAAGTGCGAGTTAATACAGTTGAATGTAAATCAATAATTACCACTAAGCTGAGGACAATGATTGGGGAATAAGAGATTTGCTGTATGCAAGTGTAACAACGGCTCGTTTATTTTCATGATAAGGATTCCATGGGTAAATGTAAAAGGCGTCGATCTGCGATTTGATGCAACATTGCTTCAGTTGTCTTCCACCCGACATACTACACAATACGCGGTGTAGCGATAGGCGGATACGGCACCGGACGCGAGGAGACTGTTCCGCCCGGCACCGGTGCACTGCGGCACAGTCTAACACTCAGGCGTTTGTGTATGTATTTTGCGCTGGCGGTATCTATGCTGTACCGCCAGGCACCGGTGCAGTGCGGCACAGTCTAACACTCATGCGTTTGTGTATTGTGCGGTGGTGGTATCTATGCTGTACCGCCAGGCACCGGTGCACTGCGGCACAGTAACCGCAGGTTGTTTGAAAAGACAAACACTATTCGTTAGAATTGTGTTTTTCTATTGAAAAACAACCGGAGCGGTCGTTCTCCGGGCTATGTTTTGCAAGTCTGGCCGCGAATTGGGGCAACTTGGGTCAGGCCTAGACTAATCCATCAATCTTCGTAAAAAGTTCAGGGTATGGGCTCCCGGAGGCGATCTACCTGATGGCACCGGTCGCTACTCGCTTAAAACCTCGTGGCACGTGGCACGTGCGATTCCATTTTCCCCATGTTAAGTCAACGGGGTTTTGGACACTTTTTGCGCGATCGCCAATGGCGGGAAAACGAGCCAAGGAAGAGGTGGTTTTCTTCCCAGCATTTTATGGCAAACACGTTTGGGTACACGCTAGTGTGCGCCGTATACCCCTCAGAACTTCGGAACGTGTCTTTGCACGAGGTCAAAGTTGAACTTTTTTCGCTCCCCATGTTAAGTCAATGGGCGTTTTTGCAGAGACTTTTTCATTCGCTCATTGTACAAAATTATATGATACGATTTTGTTTAAACTTTCAGGACTTGTTGAGAAAAGACCATAGAACATGTTGTTATGCTTCTTTAAGCTGTGCAAATTCGTTTGTTCTTTTTAGGCTCGTTTAAAAATGAAAAATTTTAACATGGAAAGTGAATGGGAGCGTCTTTGCTGCTTAATAACTTTTTACAGTTGAGATATATTTAAGTGAAAAGTTGATAGGTTATACAACTTTTGATGCTCTTTCCAATGATATATACAACTTTATTGCACGTGGTGCCGTTTTTGAGAAATATAGTAAAAAAGCACGACATTACCGAGATTTGAGCTCAGACCTATATCGTTACGGTGTCAGGCGGACACGAGGACAGGTGGCGCCGCCGCCGCCCGCATAGCGGCGGGAATGTGAACTAACCTGTTTACCAGAGGGGTGTTCACGGGCACCGCACACTGCTGCGTGCGCTGTGTGCGGTGCGTCCAGCAGGCGTGGGGGTAGGGGATGGGTAGGCGGTTCTGACGTCACGGCTGCGTGCGGTGGACGGTCCGCTGTGGCCAGTCCCGACCGGCCACAGCGATCGCTGTGTGCGGTGACGGAAGGCTGACGTAGGGACGCAGTGGGCGGAGCTTGGAGGCTGTGTGCGGTCCGACCGCACACAGGGCCCGTGGACAGCCCTCTGATCTATGGTATGGTACCATCGGGGGACCGGCCGCCGTCGGCACCATTTCGGGACTTTGCATCGCAATAAAAGGCTTATTTACAATTGAAAATGGACTAGCGAGAGTCGTTATGGAATCAGAATTTGATGCTCTACAAAACTAGGCTATTTTCATTGTGATGGCATCACAGACTACACCGCTAAACCCAATAAAGCAGATTTATGTCGCGTCATCGATGATTACATATAATGTATCATTCTTTGATATATATGTAGTCGGGTCTTTCAGCTGCGTCCCTCCCCTCCCTCGCCGCGCCGGCGGGTCGGCCATCCGTGGCTTGCCGCCCGCCGGCTGCTGGCCGGTCAGCTGGCCGGTCAGCTGGTCGCCCGCGGCTGTCGGTGCAGTGCGGGATGCCTACTTGCGGGGGGGGGGGGGCCGTCGTGGCGGCGGCCCGGGTGGACTGGGCGAGCAGTGAGTTGGGGAGCGCTGCGCTGTCGGTGCTCTAGTTTGTATTGCGTTCGCATGATACGGCTTGAGCCAATACAGAGTGAACTGATTGAGCTGAGCAAGTCTTTACATACATTGAAAAGTAAAGCACTTTTTACTGCATCTACGGTGAGATGCTAGATAAAATTTATGGTCTACCTAATGGTACCCATTACTTAACAATTAAGTGAATCATTTCGTCGCTAAACTCTCGTAAATTCGTATGTCCGCCTCACTATGGAGTTTGGACCGTAACGTATGGCCTTTGCTCAGACAGTATACGAACAGGTGACGGGGATACCTCTAATAGAAGGATGCGACACGATTTTACTGCTAAATAGCGGCCGGCCGCCGTGGGGACGTTTTTGTACGACTTATATCTCGGCAACCACTGGGCTGATACACGTGCGGTTTTTTTGTGTGGGGTAGCTTTTTCCCTTCTTTCACATAGTGTGCTACTCTCGATGCATATGGGTGACCCCTAACGCACGTTCCACGTGCAAAGCCAAGAGGTGCCTGTTTTGTAATAAGCGCAATAGCTCGCGGTAATTACTGGGCCGATTGCGCTAAAACTTGGCATGGAGGTAGACACTTTCCAGGCGATGCATTTCCATGTGTCTTGGTAGGGGTGCAACTGCACGTGCGCACGTGCAGGGTGACGCTTCCAGATCTCGAGAACGGCTGGACCGATTGTGTTCAAATTTGGCATAACGCTTGATACCGATCAGTAGGTTGCAGTCATTTAGTATGTATTTCCATGTGCCACGATTGGGGTGCAACTGCACGTGCGCACGTGCAGGGTGACGCTTCCAGATCTCGAGAACGGCCGGGCCGATTGAGTTCAAATTTGGTACACCGCTAGAGACCGATTAGTAGGGTGCCGTGCGCAAGTCAGTTTGGACCCATCTTGCACGTGCGCACGTGCAGGGTGACGCTTCCAGATTTCAACAACGGCTGGACCGATTGCACTCAAATTCGGCAAACATCTAGAGATCGATCAGTAGGGTGCCGTGCACAAGTCAGTTAGTATGTATTTCCATGTGTCACGGTTGAGATGCAACTGCACGTGCGCACGTGGAGGGGTCGTTTCAAGATCTTGAAAACGGCTGGGCCGATTGAGCTCGAATTTGGTACACCGCTAGGGACCGGCGAATAGGGTCCCATGCACAATGCAATTGGACACAGCTTGCACGTGCGCACGTGCAGGGTGACGCTTCCAGATCTCGAAAATGGCCGAGCCGATTACACTCAAATTTGGCACACCGCTATAGATCAGCGAGTAGGGTGCCGTGCACGTCAGTTTGTAACACACCGACTCCGGTCTGCACGTGCAAGGCTCATCCTCTCGTTTGGCGGCGGGCGTTTTTGCTGCGTTTACAAAGGTGCTTGCTTAAACAACCTGCGGTCCCGCGATGCGGAGCCCAGCATCGCAGATGCTGGTAACCGCAGGTTGTTTGAAAAGACAAACACTATTCGTTAGAATTGTGTTTTTCTATTGAAAAACAACCGGAGCGGTCCGTCTCCGGGCTATGTTTTGCAAGTCTGGCCGCGAATTGGGGCAACTTGACCGGGGCCTAAACGTGCATTGCGATTTTCGTAAAAATTTCAGGGTATGGGCTCCCGGGGGCGATCTACCTGATGGCTTCGGTCGCTACTCGCTTAAAACCTCGTGGCACGTGGCACGTGCGATTCCATTTTCCCCATGTTAAGTCAATGGGGTTTTGGACACTTTTTGCGCGATCGCGAATAGCGGGAAAACGAGCCAAGGAAGAGGTGGTTTTCTTCCCAGCATTTTATGGCAAACACGTTTGGGTACACGCTAGTGTGCGCCGTATACCCCTCAGAACTTCGTAACGTGACTTTGCACGAGGTCAAAGTTGAACTTTTTTCGCTCCCCATGTTAAGTCAATGGGCATTTTTGCAGAGACTTTTTCATTCGCTCATTGTACAAAATTATATGATACGATTTTGTTTAAACTTCCAGGACTTGTTGAGAAAAGACCATAGAACATGTTGTTATGCTTCTTTAAGCTGTGCAAATTCGTTTGTTCTTTTTAGGCTCGTTTAAAAATGAAAAATTTTAACATGGAAAGTCAATGGGAGCGTCTTTGCTGCTTAATAACTTTTTACAGTTGAGATATATTTATGTGAAAAGTTGATAGGTTATACAACTTTTGATGCTCTTTCCAATGATATATACAACTTTATTGCACGTGGTGCCGTTTTTGAGAAATATAGTAAAAAAGCACGACATTACCGAGATTTGAGCTCAGACCTATATCGTTACGGTGTCAGGCGGACACGAGGACAGGTGGCGCCGCCGCCGCCCGCATAGCGGCGGGAATGTGAACTAACCTGTTTACCATCTATGGTATGGTACCATCGGGGGACCGGCCGCCGTCGGCACCATTTCGGGACTTTGCATCGCAATAAAAGGCTTATTTACAATTGAAAATGGACTAGCGAGAGTCGTTATGGAATCAGAATTTGATGCTCTACAAAACTAGGCTATTTTCATTGTGATGGCATCACAGACTACACCGCTAAACCCAATAAAGCAGATTTATGTCGCGTCATCGATGATTACATATAATGTATCATTCTTTGATATATATGTAGTCGGGTCTTTCAGCTGCGTCCCTCCCCTCCCTCGCCGCGCCGGCGGGTCGGCCATCCGTGGCTTGCCGCCCGCCGGCTGCTGGCCGGTCAGCTGGCCGGTCAGCTGGTCGCCCGCGGCTGTCGGTGCAGTGCGGGATGCCTACTTGCGGGGGGGGGGGGGCCGTCGTGGCGGCGGCCCGGGTGGACTGGGCGAGCAGTGAGTTG